AAAAAAAAAAAAAAAAAAAAAACACTAATAGAATACATGCACTATTCTTCAATGGATTGAGTCCAATGCCTATAAAATTACTTGCGGCCAGAGTTTAGATGGTCTCGATTTTCAATGTTGCTGACCTCTTTACCTATTACCCACCTGATGGTTTCCAATGGCTTCATGAACTTGAGGACAAGTTGTTTTGTTAGACGGAGGGAATTGATGTAGGTTGTGTTTTGTTTTCCTTGATCAGTTGGCTATTAACTGCCATAATTAGTTTGTTTCTTCTTTTACCGTTGATTTTAGTCGTTGTTAAAGTTAGTTACAGAGGTAAGTAGGGAGCTGACCTATAAATAGCAGCTTTCTAAGCTGTATAAAAAATTTCAATCAATAAAAGAAGACGATCCTTGCATTCAAAATTATCAGTAAATTGGGACAAAAAGAGTGGTTACTCCAGTTGGAAATTCTTTCTATGGACTTGGTTATAAAAAAAAAAAAAAAAGTCCATGTGCATTTCAGTTTCATGTCAAAATAACCTATGATGAATGGGGTGAAAATAACATTTGAGGAAATGTTGGAGGCTTGTGAAAATAATGTGACTGAACCGCTGTGGTATAAAATAAGACTGCATATGTTAGTATTGCTTCTATGTAGTTATGGTCCTTCAGTGGAAGAACTGGTGGTTAATAAGAGAGTTGTGAGGGTTGAGAAGATGGTAAGGGTGCGATGGAAAAGAAACTGAAGAAATGCTTGAGCATATAAATGCATTAGCTTGTTAATTGTAAATATCCTTATAATATGTATTTTTAAAATATATTCTATTAAATGTAACATGGCTGCATCTTAGATTTGTAGAAAATAGTGCGTCATTAAATGTGCTGGAATGTGTGTGCTTTTTTGAAACCGTTATTTTGATAAAGCTCTTTTAAGGTGTCTTAGCAAGGACCAAGGTAGATCTTTTGTCCTTAAAAGAAGATAAGCTAACATTCAGAGACTTTTTAAATTTGAAGCATGGACAAATTCTTGGTGGAAGATTTTTTGCTATTCCTGCTTATAGGGTATGAAATAAATGTAACAACATAGGTTATTGTTTAGCAAGGTTTACCAGATTATAGTTTCTCTCTGTACTTCAAGAAGAAAGAGAGTTGCTAATTGAAATGATTGATTATATTAGCTGATTATATTAGCTGTTCTATATTACTGCCTCTAGTTACATTCTAAATCTTCGATCTTATTGCATTAGGAGACATCCTTTCAATTATCGGCAAAATTTCCATGTATGTCATTGCAGATGGAATCGCTTCTTAGACAGTGTCAAGTCATGAATCCTAAAGACTACTATAATGCCAAGGAAGGGGATGATATATTTTTATGTGAGTATGAATATGACGTTCGTTGGCATAGTTTCAAGCGGTTAGCTGAAATTAATAAAGAACAGGTAAGCCTTCGGAAAGGTGGAACTAGCTGATGTAGTACAGTAGTTTCTTGCTAGCTACTGGTTTTTATTCCCCTGTTTTTCCCTTCTGTTTTGTTAGTTCTGGTTGGTTACCGTGGTTAGTCTTTATTTTTACAGCTAGCTGTCTTTTATTTTTACAGCAAGACTTTTAATTGTTTAAATCCAGGTAAAACATGTTACCATGGATTAAAAGGCTGGTTTATAGCCTTTATATAGGGGTCCTTAGGTTGTAGATTTCTCGAAGATTTGTGGTACATTATTGGCATTGGGATGTTGATTGTTATAATATAATTTTTTTTGTACATTTTAAATTGGTAGGATGGTGAAGCAGTTGATAGTGACAAAGACTGGAAGTTGGAACAGAATGTAGACTCTGATTCAGATGGTGATGTGGAATATGAAGAAGAGAGAGCAAAAATTTTACAATCTCGAAACTACCCAAGCTCTACCCACGAATTGGCCGCAGTACGAATCATCTTTTTTACTGCATGTATATTTTATTTTGGCTTTGTTCATGCAAACTGCCCCTGTTGAATTTTTGATGCACGAGCAGAATTCAAGGAAAGGACAATTTTGTGGACTACAAAAGATAGGAGCAAAGAAGATCCCCGAGCATATAAGATGCCACAAACAGACTGAATTGGAAAGAGCAAAGGCAACCCTCATGTTGGCGTCATTACCCAAGTCTCTACCTTGTAGGAATAAGTGAGTGGAAACTTGACAAATCTTCTTCTTGATGGGTAATTTTCTTTCCTTTGACAAAACATACCTTTTGTTCTAGAGAAATTGAGGAGATAACTACATTTATAGAAAGTGCTATATGTGGCGATCAATGTTTGGGGCGATGCTTGTACATCCATGGTGTTCCAGGAACAGGCAAGGTAGTACTACTTTCTTTAGCCAGCAACTGATCATACCTATAATGTTCCTTCGGATGTTTACATGTGGTACTTTTGATATCTAAACTAGACTTCCTTTTCCCCCTTTCTTTATTAAAAAAAAAAAAAATTATAATGACGTGCTATCCTTTTCTTGAATCTAGACAATGAGTGTCCTGTCAGTAATGAGGAACTTGCGGGCTAAAGTTGATGCCGGAAATATAAGGCCTCATTGCTTTGTAGAGGTCAATGGTCTAAAGCTGGCAGCACCAGAAAATATATACAGGGTAACGGCGGTGTTGACTTGGCTTGATTGCAACCTTGATTATTGTTTATGATGCTCTTTATTATTTCAGGTTATACATGAAGCATTAACTGGGCATAGGGTTCATTGGAAAAAAGCGCTTCAGTTGTTGACCAAACGGTTTTCAGATGTAAATAACTGCAAAGAGGATGAACGAACTTGCATTCTGCTCATCGATGAACTTGATCTTCTTGTAACAAGAAATCAGTCGGTAAGTATTGCACTTTGTGAGCTTGTTTAACCGACAAACTAGTTCATTCCTAATCTTTTGTTAGTTAATGATGCTTGTTTAATGTATAGTAGCTACTTGGTAGCGCAGAGGATGTCGAAAACATTGCCAATAGATACAGTTGTAAAATGGGTGAATAGCCGAATTTGTACTTGGGGTTGTCCTTAAGAGGGAATCCCAAATCCTTCTTCTTCTAGAAAACCATTAATGAAAAAATAGAAAAAGGTTACAACATGTTCATTATGTTACACTTCTAAAGGTAGATGGCTCATTCTCATAAAAACTCACAATGTCCCACATTCTCATGTCCTTCATTCTCACTTACCACATGTCTCTATTCAAAATGCCTGGCTACAAAAATAGGAAAACTATTTTCTTATTTGTAGAAAGATAGTCCACACCTTGTTCGATGGAATACTATAGGAATACAATAGCTCTCTTGGTAGACTAGGGAGGACTCAGCTCGCCCCACATTGGATAAGGGAGAAGAATAGAACTCCCCTTGCCAAATAGAAATGGAGATATTACCATGAAGGCACTGGTGTGGAGGCTTAAAAAGGCTAAGTATACTCTGGCATTATGCACAAATCTACCCCTACCTTCTGCAAAAGGGGCATGGAAGTACATACAAAAGCATTAAAACCTCATCGCTAATCGCTGTTGGAGGAAGGAATGACCTTGATTTAAGGAGTATTTGTGTAATCCCATTAAATAAGGGAAGTAGTCCACCTTATCTGTATTGTTACCTAATATCTTGGATTTATTGGTACCTAGTAACTAGCTAACTAGCTAGTTACTAAAGATTTATTTAGATTTATTGTTACCTAGTAACTAGCTAGTTACTAAAGATTTATTTAGATTTATCCTATCTTGTTATTTAGTATTTAGATTTTATTTAGCTTTTTTTGTATAATAAAAGAAAAATGTACTTCAAAAAAATAAAAGAAAAACAAGTTAATTTAGACTTGCAACATGACATTAGAGCTTTTCTATTTTGGAAAATGTGATTAGAACCAAAACCCTTGAATTGATGAAGCCTTCATCGCTGCCGATCTTGATCAAATTTCATCAATGCCTTCATAGTTGTTGTCAAGTTTCATCATTAAGAGCCTTCATAGTTGCTGTTAAGTTTCATCATTCAGAGACTCCGTGAGGGGGAGCGCACTCCAAATATGACCACTTGGCCTCACTCATAGTATTCTCTAAGTCGCACGGAGCTCACAAACCAACCATGACATTTACTCATTGTGGCACTAACTCATATGGTAGCGTGGTAGCGAAGTCTGGAAGCTAGTATCATAGTCCCACTTTGGCTCTACTTCAGTCAACTTCTCAACTAGCCGCCACCTTCATGTGGCGATTGTTGCCTCAACACTTCTATAGTCTTTCTGCAACTTCACTTCTCTTTGCCCACTTCTAGCCAGATGCTCTCTTCTCGAGCGGATATTGGTCTTGATCCTATTGTGAAGTCACCCACCTTAGGCATTAGGCGATGACTCAAGGAATATGCGTGTGCTCGCACCTTGGAGCATATCCACATGGTGAGCAACCCATTCACTCGGGCTCTCTCCTAAAGGACGTGTCCTGCTCAACTTGGCATTTTGCCTGCGCTTGTCTCACTTGACCCCTAGCTTCTCTACTGGCAACTATTGACGCTATTCCTCTAATGCAAATAGTTCTTTGGAAGACACACGTAGTGTGCCTTCTATTTCATTTCTTGCCCACGTCAAAACCCTAAGCCCCGTTGGCAAATGAGCTTGGTCTTGTTTCTTGATGGGTAGAACTCCCCTTACTGAGGAGTCGACACACAACATTAATGAACTTGGGGAGTCTTGGCTTCAACCCAAAAACTGTTCTTGATTTTGATTTGCAACTGTCTTGCCCACTCTGGCACTCTTGACACACTTGCGAATTCTTCATTCAACCCTTGGATTTATTTATCTGACAATCTTGTCCAACTAGATACATAAAGTGTGGCATTGATATCAACTATCACGGTCGTACATTTTCAACCGTGCAACGTCGTGATCTTTGTTAAGGATATTTAATACTGAATTATAGTTTACCATATATAGCATATTTAATCTTTTATTATAGGCTCATATCTAGATATTTGTCTTTCATTACGGCTTACCATAAGTATTTTTCTATTTATTGCTCTTTCCATTTATTACTCTTTCCATTTATTACTCTTTCCATTTATTACTCTTTCCACATCCTTGTAATTTATTTGATTATAAATAGAGAACTTTCACACCATTTAGGTTGGTGGTTTTAGCAAATATTCTCATGGTATTAGAGCTCTTTTGGGTTGCTAACCCTGATCCTTTCTTTTCAATGGCTTCTGAATCCTTTACTGTTCTTCTCCACCACCCCTATTGGCTTTGACGTCGCAGGGGCAGTCTCCATGACTGTCGCAGGCGGGCCGATTGATTACTCTTCGGCTCCACCCCTTTGATCTCCAAATCACCCTTTGCCATACTCTGTACATACAACCTCACCTTTTCCAACACAATCAGTTTTCCCTCAACCAACATAGTCTCTCTCATTTTCTTCCCATTCTTCCATTCATCCTTCACAGAAACCCTAACTTCAGGATCCTCATCAACATTCTCATAAAAAATATATGGAATCTCGTCAAGCCCATCGATCTTTTGTAGAGATTTTCCTTCGGAATTTAGATGCCGCACTGGCCTCTTCGCCAACCAAGTCGCCGTCGACCTCCTTGCCAAAATCGGCTCCTTCGCCACTGTGGTGACTCTTCCAACTTTAACATCGTCTTCGTCCCTTGCTCCATGGGACGTGGTGCTCTCTCCGTCCATTGAAACTTTACCACCAGCTATGGTGTCGGCTACTTCTCCATTGGCTCTGTCTACTATTCCTTTGGAGTCACGAGTGCAAACTCCAGTTGCAAAATATGCTCGAGTTACTCGTGCTCATTTGCTCGATAGCAAACCAGTCCACAAGGCGCATACATCACTCCGTCTCCGCCCCTCTCTTTCTTCGTCTAAAATACACCCCAGAGTCCGCATTCTTGGTTTATACCCCTTCTTCCTCTCTTCTTCATAGTCACCATCGAACCCTCTCTATTCACCTTCTTCCTCTGGATTTCCCCCTTTCTACTTCATGGGTTAGACATATTCTCGCCGGAGCCAAGACAGCATCGCCATTGAGTGATATCTCTCTGTAGTTTTCAATGGCCAAGAAAATGTTTCTTGATGTCTCCTCCGAACGAGATTGTTGACATCTTCACAAAAAGTATTTATCGATCTCTCTTTGAATTTTTTAGATATTTAGTTTTGAATTATAGTTTACCATATATATCATATTTGATATTTTATTATAGGCAAATATCTAGATATTTGCCTTCCATTACGACTTACTATAGGTATCTTTCCATTTATTGCTCTTTCCATTGATTACTCTTTCCATATCCTTGTAATTTGATTATAAATAGAGAACTTTCACACCATTTAGGTGTGGTGGTTTTAGCAAATATTCTCAATCTTGACACTCTCACGACAAGCCTTGAGGGGAACTCAAGTCCTATATTTATTTT